ATGGTAATGATGGAACCTGATGGCCAGGAAACACTTCCACGAATAAGCCACTGACTGCCCTGTTATCTGGTTGGTGCGTTAAGCAAAGAACCTTTATATGACAGTCAGTGGCTCGCCGAATAAAATGGAAATAACGAAAGCAAATGCAATCTGGGTCGTAAAGGTTGACGCCACTGACATTGCACTGACTATGATCTCTATTTAAACAAAGGAATTGGAGTTCTCAACTGGATAGTTGGCATAGGTTCAAAAGACCGCGGAAGTAAGAAAAGGAGAAAATACAATAGCGAGAAAAAAGTTAAAAGCTTATGACAGATTAAAAGGGCCTTCCCGGTCGTCGCAAAAATTCGCCCACAAGAGGCGAAACTCACCTTTTAGGAGAATAGTCCGAATAACCTCATCCAAGGACGGCTGTTTGTGGGGTTCCTGACCATGTTCTTTAACGCTGAAAAAAAGAAAAAGATAATATCACCAAACAGATGTTGCGAAGGCAACAAAATGTACATGGTAACACTTCAAAAAACTAAAGGCGTACTGGTTCATGTTACGTCTTAAGGGCCACTATCTAAACTCTGGAGCATGAATTGGAAGTTTCCTTTTCGATGAATAACATTCTGCAACTAGCGGTAGCAAAAAATTAAGACGGATTAAGTAACTGACATAGCGAATAGTAGTTATAAAACAATTTTGGACTCCGGATGGCTTGGCTCATTGACTAATTCCCAACTGGTCTTGTGGATGTAATGCTTAATTATTCAGTCCTGTGACATTCTTGTGGAAATTTATCATTTATAGTTCTATTTGAAAATTAAGCTCGAACACGGACCTCAGTTCATGCAATTATCGTAGACTTCCATAGGAGAGAGACACTGAAGTGATACAGCCCGCTGCATAAGCACACCTATTGTATCAAATGGTTAAGTCAAAATGAGCACTAAGTCGCGCTCGCTCCACCGACAACACTGACTGCCGATCCAGCTGGCCTCCATGATGTCACGGACTGTGCTTCCCCACGAGTGACGATCCGCTGTAGCGGGTCTGGTCAGCTTAATCCAGTCCTTCCTCCGGCTACGGAGACCAGATACCGAAGAACCAAGAACCACTCGAATGACCCGACAAACTATATCGAGGCGAGTTTAGACGCCTCAAGTGGGCAACGGCGCCGGATCAAGGTCAGTATAACTTAGCTTATGAGGTGTATGATGAAGGATGTGCCCGAACAATCTTATCTCTCATACATGGCGTAGGATATCTTCACGATATTGCAAGGAATGCAAACTTTCTTGTTTTAGACAATTTCGGTGTAATCCTCGTGAAGCATGCAATTCAAGTGGCTTAGCTGCTGACTAGCGGCGAGTCTACAGGCGGCCGATA